TTACAACTAGTCGTGCTTGACATTTTTTACTGATATGTACTTCTTGTCGAAATATTCATTAAGGATATTTTTCGTACATTACATTTCATTTGAATAAGTAAACTTTGTAAAATCGTACCGAATACATAGAAAATTCATATAAGGTGTACAGTTTCATGTCTGTATTTCCATCGAGTGATGAAATCACGTCTGCGTTTAAAAATAACTTTTCTTTACGTCTGCATAAAATCGTTGTATTTTTCTCTTTCTCTATATGGTGTGATATACTAATCCAGGCAATGCACTGACGGATATGATGTACTAAAGTTGACTTTTCTTTATTATATCGTTCTACAAGTACATTTAATACTGCTATCCAATAAACAAAAACATTGTGTCATCAGATGATGATATCATATTTGTTTTAAACACATACACATACATATCTATTTATCTTTGCCTAGAAATATCTAGTAAAACTAACTTCTCTCGCCTTGGCATCCTATATAAATAGAAAATTCTTTGCTAGTAAAAAAAGTTAATACGTGATATTTTACTTTATCTTATTCCAAATCGATTCTACTTCTTCATATGAACTCTCTCAAAGAATTTTTCGAATTTACTCATCCCAATAAGAATACCATTGCTGGTCAATGTAAACTTTGTGATAAACTTTACTCAGATAATGCTGCATCAACAGGAAATTTTCATAAACATCTCAAACGTAAACATAATACTCAATATGAACAAATGAAGTTTTCGGATTCTATTACGTCTAAAAATGATATAAATGAACAGTCAGAAAATTCGACAACCAACATCAATAAAATCAATCAAGCTATTCTAGAAGATTTAATTGTAAAATGTAATCTGCCACCGGCATTCGTTGAACAGGTTGGTTTTAGGAACTTTTTAAAAACATTTGCTCCAAAATGGAAACATACATCTTCACGGTACGTCAGCAACACATTACTACCATTATTGATGAATAATGCTCAGGATAAAATGAGATCGTTACTTGGTGATGTCAATCATTTGAGCATTACAGTGGATGTTTGGACAGACCGTCGTGGAGGATCATTTATTGGAGTAACAGGTCATTTTCTTGACTTGAATTGTATTCCACAGGCTCTTCTTTTGAATTTCTCTCGTTTGAAAGGACCACATACTGGAGAAAATATTCGTAATATCACAGAAGAAATACTTGAAAATTTGAAGGTAAGTAGTGTTCTATATTATTGACTTAACCTGCATGACCAGTAGAAGTCACTTGCGAATATATTTCAATTCAAGGGTATAAAAATTAGGACCTGTTAGATAAATAAAAAACTAGAGTTTTTCTGTTTTCTTCGCGATTATTTGGTCGTCATTCACATGAATTTCTTTATAGATCAAACACAAAGTGTATCGAATTATAACCGATAACGCTGCTTCCATGCTGAAAGCTTATAAATTTGGATTAGTTGTAAATGATAATGATTATACCGATCGAAATGACAATAATCAACATGATATTTCAACTGAATTTAGTAGTAATGGTGATCTTGATTTATCAAGTGAATGGATATTACTTGATTGGTGTAAAACCTTTACAGATTCAGATGACAAAGATGATGATATTGCAATACGATTATCATGTTTCGCCCATAGTCTACAACTGGCTATCCGTGATGGATTGAGAGATGCTCCTTATCTAGCTAAATCATTATCAAAATGTGTTAAATTAGCTCGAAAATCTCACAAGTCAACAAAAATTGCTGACGTTCTCGAAGATATTGGAAAAACAATCAGTCGATCCAATGTAACACGATGGAGTTCAGAATATCTTCTTATTAAATCAATTATTGCATTAGGAAAAAAAACAATTGATGAAATTACCAATATTATTGATGATAATGAGTTGAAGTTTAGTAGTAATGATTTTATTGTTTTAAAAGAAGCACTTGAGATATTAGAACCATTTGCTGAAATCACTTCTCGTATTCAATCAGAATCAGTTGTTACTGCTAGTCTTGTTGTACCATCTGTGGTACATATTATTGACCATTTGAAGAATACAAAACCAAATATTTCATTTCTAAAAAAAACGTGTATACAGCTTGAACAATCGATTAACAAAAGATTTGCTGGTATTATTAAACGTTTATCACAACAGATTGTTTTATCAAATGACCCTTTTTCGGATCCAATCTATTTTGTTTGTGCTGTTTTGGATCCTCAATTTAAATTATACTGGTTTAGTCAAATGAGTTATACAGCAACAGTCGAAACACAAATGAAACAAACTTTGATTCAGATGATAATGGATAAATGTGAACAGAATATCGACGCATCGTTTGATACTATACAACATACAAAATTATCATCGTCATCAACATCTGTTGTGAATAGTTGTACAACACAATCAATTGACACATCAATTGTTAAAAAGCGTAAACTTTTTCATTATGAAGATGATGGTAATGTTTTATCTTATTCGTCGACGAATCCTATCAATGAGATCAATGCGTATATCAATGATCCTATACGATCAAAATTTTCGTCTTATTGGAAAAATTCTCAATCACACTCTTTAAAAAATGTAGTTAAACGCGTATTCTGTATACAAGCATCATCTGCTCCTATTGAGAGAGTTTTCAGTCAAGCAGGCATTATTATGTCTCCAAGACGAACGTCAATGCGTGAAGAAGTATTTAAAAGTTTGGTATTCTTACGTGTGAATCAGAACTTGATTTA